GGCCCATGCCAGGCCCTCAGAGGGGTAGCCAGGTGTGGGTGGGCGGCAGTCACTCCCACGCCAGCCGTTCGGCGTTTTTGTGTACTTCATGTCCAGTGTATGGGGGTCTCTGCCCCTCAGGCCTGTCCGAGGCTGTTCCATGCTCTGTCTGACTCCTTGACCGCGGCAGGAGCAGTGAACTTTGCAGCCCTGCTGACAGGACTTCAGGTCAGGCTTGCCCCAGGGGATGGAGGCCGGGCCCAGTTGGGTGGAGAAGCCGTGAGCAGGGACTGTGGTGGGAAAGGAGAAGTCCCCACAGGTGGGCAGTCAACTTCTCAATTTACTTCAGATGGAAAAGAGCCTGTAGCTGTATCTCTGACCATAAACCACTCTACCACACTTGTGTGGGCCACTGCGGGCTGAACACCAGGCAGAGGCTCCTCCCCAGAGCCTCCCGAGGCGCTGGCCATGGTGTTGCTCTTTCTTGCAGCCCTTAGGTCTCTACTGGCAAGACTCTGGAGCCTGGTTCCCAGGTTGGGAGACAAATTGGCCCTCGGCCACACACCTGACTTAGCACCTGTCCTTCCCTTGACTGCTGCGCCCTCTAGTGTGCAGAGAGCTTGCGCCCGCAGAGCCTGCCCACAGCAGCCTGGCAAAGCACTCCCCAATGTCCCTGTCAGGGGTCGTCCAGACGGGGTTCTTGGCAGCAGAGCCACATGTCACTCCCCCTTGGACTGACCCCTTAGGCCCTACAGACACCAAGACATCTCAGCAGAAACATCTCGTTTCTGTGACAGCCAAGAATAGCCCCCTTCCGAGCTCTAGCAGGCTGAACCCCACTTTCTAGCCTGAGCCCAGGCTGAACCTGCTGAGCAGGATGTGGCCAAGAGCTGCCTCAGGGTTTCAAGACGCATGAGCTCAGCTTCAGGGGAAAGACCTGTCAGTGAGGAGGCCTCTGCCAAGCCAGAGGGGTGAGGGGTGCTGCGTGCATGCGTGCACGTGGGTGAGAGAGAGAGGAACGTGAGTCTAGGATCTCTCTCGCCTAAGGGAGTGGACTCAGGGCCGGCTGGGTTAGTTCCCAGGAATCAGCTGTGGACAGGTCTGGCTGGAGCTGGTCAGGGCTAGTGTATGGGTAGATCTGGGCTGTGGACAGGTCTGGCTGGAGCTGGTCAGGACTAGTATATGGGTAGAGCTGGGCTGTGGACAGGTCTGGCTGGAGCTGGTCAGGACTAGTGTATGGGTAGATCTGGGCTGTGGACAGGTCTGGCTAGAGCTGGTCAGGGCTAGTGTATGGGTAGATCTGGGCTGTGGACAGGTCTGGCTGGAGCTGGTCAGGGCTAGTGTATGGGTAGATCTGGGCTGTGGACAGGTCTGGCTGGAGGTGGTCAGGACTAGGTATGGGTAGAGCTGGGCTGCTTCGCCAGCTTCCAGACATGGCCACCTGAGCTATCCTCCTTCACAGGGATGGGCACCTTGCCTTTAAGGCCTCCTGGCTGTACTATGGAAGCCGCCACAGACAATCCACGCAGAGGGAGGGTAGAGGCCGCGGTAGCCTAGTTTATCTACAGGAGTGAGGGAAAGGGTCATCCTGGAGCACAGGATGAACCTGGGGAGTTACAGAGGAGCTGAATGGTGTGCGGCCTATGCTGCAGTGTGTTCAGTGAGACCAGGCTTCCAGCTTGAGGGTGGGAGGGAGCCAGGGACTCCATTACAACCGGCCCCTCATGCCGGGAGTTCAGGTCTGAGCTGTGGGCAAGCTGTGAGGGTAGCAGACAGAGAAGGGGATTAAAGAGCATGAAGACAAGCACCCTGCACAGGTATGCTTGGCATACAGGTGGGCCTCTGGCCACTCCTGGTCACCCGCATCAAATGGGGGAAGAATGGGGACAAAGGTGCGTCCAGATAACTCCACAGGCTCACTGCCCTGCCTCTCCTACCAGGCCTCAGCAACTGAGTACCTGAGTGGGGCTCAGGAACAGGTGAGGGTCTTGGTGAAGGCATCAGGTACAGAGCTCTGGCCTGGGCCAATTGTGTCCTGTACGCCTGCCATGGGTGGCAGAGGACCTACCTTCTTGGCCTCGTCTCACCAGCCCCAAGAGAGGCGCATCCAGCAATGGTCCACCTTCATCTTTTTTTGTCCTCATACTGGGGATGCTGTCTCCTAGCTTTTTTGTTCAAGGTCGGCACTCTACCACTTGCGCCACAGCTCTACTTCCCAACTTTTTGGTGGATAATCAGTCTCACCAACCTTCCTGCCAGCTGGCTTTGAACTGCAATCCTCAGATCTCAGCCTTATGAATATCTAGGGTTATAGGCTTGAGCTCACCCTAATCTTTTCCAGTTCGGCTACCTGCTTTTTTTTTTTTTTTTGGTCGGTCATGGGCCTTGAACTCTGGGCCTGGGTGCTGTCCCTCAGCTCTTCAGCTCAAGGCACGTGCTCTACCCCACTTGAGCCACAGCACCACTTCGGGTTTTCTGGTGGTTTATTGGAGATAAAGAGTTTCACGGACTTTCCTGCCCGGGCTGGCTTTGAACTGTGATCCTCAGATCTCAGCCTCCGGGGTAGCTAGGATGACAGGCGTGAGCCACGGCGCCCCGTTCGGCTTCTTTTAACTTTGAAGCCTACCTCAGACTGCTGTCACAGTCACGTATGGACTCAACTAATCCCTGGGACACAAGGTGTGTCTCCACTATCATGAGCTCCCATCACAGCCAGCAGGGGCAGCAGTGGCTTGTTGGTTTGGCTTTGGTCAACACCTCCCCCATTGCAGGCACAACCCTTCCTCACGCTAGACTCTCAGGTGTGGTCCATGTAGGGAAGAAATGAGGGCAGCTCAGTGAACTGGACTGGCCAAGACCTGGAGGGAAAAGGGCAGGACACATGGCCGGCAGGGAAATGCAGACAGGGCGCGTCCTAGGCTAGCTCCAGTGGCCTGCGGCTCAGTTCCGAGTCCCACAGGTGAACACGAGCTTGCTCAGTGAGCACCTACACTGTGTCTCCTCTGCCTCACGCTGAGGTTCCTCCAGACAGCTCCAGGGACAGAGCAAATTGGACAGAAGCAGTGCAGTGGGCCTCACCTATATCCTGGCCACTGTGAGCCCACCATTCACTGAACTCCATCATGTTGACTGAGTCAGGGGTGTGTGAGAGCGTGGTAACACTGATGCGACCTCCGTGGGGACAGAGCCTGGTCGATTCCCGCCTGCCCCGCAGAAGAGTGAGCAATGCCACGCTTCAAGGCAAGCAAGCGGCAGGGACTCGCTGCGCTTAGACTCGAATTATCTCATCGGCAGCCTGGGCCACCTCTCAATAACCCCCACACCCCAGAGCCGGACCACAATCCCGAGTGCATGGAACTGGATACAGACACGTGCCCAGAGCAGGACTGCCCAAGGAAGACAAGAGGCCCTTGTCTTCAACCTAAGAGCCTCAGCCCGCCTGGCCCCTACCCCACTCTTACTGCCCCTCCCTCTAAGCCAGACCCTGGAAAGCTGACAAAAGAGACACTCCAGGCCCCAGACAACCACTGAGGTACATGCTTGTAATCTCAGCACTTTTGGAGGCTAAGACAGAATTGATCGTTTGAGGCCAGCTTAGCTGACCCTATGATTTAAAAAATACACACACACACCACAAAACCCTCCAAGTCCTGTTTGACTAGGCCTTGTCTCTGAAGAAGGTAAGGCGGGCCCATCAGTGAGCCAGGGGTTCAAGCCCAAGGGTAGGAAAGACTGGCTTAAATTTAAAACAATGGATACTGGATGCTAGTGGGTCACACCTGTAATCCAGAAGTGGAACTGGGGCTCAGGGCTCAACCTTGAGCAAAAATGGGACAGCCATTGGGGCTTGGAAGGTGGCTTAGTGTGGTAGAGTGCTTGAAGTACAGGAAGCCCTGGGTTCGATTCCTGAGTACCACATACACAGAAAAAGCCAAGAGTGGGTCTGTGGCTCAAGTGGTACAGTGCTAGCCTTGAGCAAAAAGCACAGGAACAGTGCCCAGGCCTTGATTTCAAGTCCCAAGACTGGCAAAAAATAAAAATAAAAAAAAGAAAGAAAACACCCCCAAACGGAGTGAAGCTAAGGCCTAAGAACCACACCAACCCTTTTAGACAACTAACAGACCCCTGTGGGCCATCAGAGCCACATCAAGAGCTAGCTGAGTGTTTTGGATACAATTTTAAAAGAACTGTCTAGTCTGGCGCCAGTGGCTCATGCCTGTAACCTAAGCTACTAAAGAGGCTGAGATCTGAGGATTGCAGTTCAAAGCCAGCCCGGGCAGGAAAGTCTGTGGGACTCTTACGTCCTATTAACCACCAGAAAACTGGAAGTGGCACTATGGCTCAAGTGGTAGAGCGCTCGCCTTGAGCTGAAGAGCCCAGAGTTCAAGCCCACAACTGCCAAGAAAGAATTAAAAAATAATTGTTCACATGGCAGGGAGGTTACATGGCACTGGAATGTGGAAGTACTGGGACCTTGGGGGCTGGGAGACCAACATGGACAGGTAACTGTGGGTGTTTCCCTGGGCTCTGACCCTAAGACAGGCCCTGACTCTTACTAACCTTCCCTGCCTGGCAGGGAAGCTATGTGATCCTTCGGGATCTTCCTTTCACCAGCTGTGATGTGATTAGCACCTCCTCCCCTACGTACAGCTTGTTTTCCTGAGACCAGAATGGGCCTCCTTCCCCTCCAGGGAAGGGCTGGGATACGCCAGGGCAGGTCAGGCCCAGGAGTGGATCCGAAGGGCGGGGCGTGGCAGAGGCCAGCGGCGGGAGCCCCTGCAAGACCACTGGGCCCCACTGCCTCCGGTTCTGTACAGGACACCACAGGGACCTTCCTAGGCGCAAGCCAAGCCTCAGCCTCTCCTATTCTGGAGAACATTCTAGAACAGACAGGGAGGTATGTGTAATGGGAAGAAATGAGTCCATTCTGCTACACCTTAGATTATAAATTATAAATTATGCAGGCCCCTTTCCAACAGAAAAAAGACAAACACCAAAAGAAGCCCCAGGAAGAGCACACAGGCAGCTGGATTCCGTTTACTCACTTCCAGACCCACAGGCACAATAAATGCTGCCAGCCACCATCTACCCACCTAGACGGCCACTGCTTAGTTCCAGGTCTCCAATGCCCCCTAGGGCCTCTGAAAAGACTACCCCGTGTGGCCAGTACACAGGAACCCGCGCGGCCACTCCAGGATGTGGCCGAGAGGAAGCTGAGCCCTGTGGTCACTTCCCACTGGCTATCTTCTGCACCACTGCGGGCTCTGACAGGACCTGCTGCTGAAGCTGCTCCACCAGCTCCTCCACATAGATCTTGAATAGGGGGACGGGGTCCTGGATGAGAGAGGGTAGGAGTGAGGCTCACGTTTGCCCAGAGCAGCTAGAGCTCTGGCAAAGGCGGGAACCAGCTGGCGGCCACTGCTCAGTGGATATGGGGTCGATGCCCAATGAGCCCCTCAGGCTCAGCGACAGGGTCACACGAGGTTGCTTGTGGCAGTGGAAGGCACCGCCTACACAGGTGGCTTTCTTCCCTTAAGGACACAGGAGTCACAGGCCTGCCTCTGGCTGCCCTGGGGTCACAGATACACACTAAGTGGAGTGAGTGTGGGCAGCTAGCTGCCAATGCCACAGGCAGCTACCTGAGCCAACAGCCCCCACAGGCCCCGGACCCTTCTTGGGAACAGAAACACAGCAGCAAGTGTGGCCCTCCCCAGCCCAGGCTCTCTCTACCCGTCTGTCCCTTGACCTGGAAGGTGGCAGCAGCCCGGCGCTCACCTTCTCTTCCAGGAGCCTCTGCTTCTCCACAGCCTCCTCCATGGTCAGGCCAACCCACTCGGCCTCCGCCTCTGGAATGGCAAAGTCCTGGCCAGGCAAACGGAGAGCTCAGTGAAGCCCAGTGTCTAACAGGCAGGAGCAGCAGGGAGGGCAAGGGGAAGCCCTCACCTTGTACTTGTTGTAGATGGCTGCCCTCCGTTCGGGGTCATCCGGGTGCAGCTGAGGGTCCTGGCGGGCAAGCCTCAATAGCATACCTCGCTTCAGATCCATCCCAAACTTGGAGCACAGGTCCTCCTTTGGGGTCTGGAACGGGGCTCACATAAGGCCAGGGGCTGTGCCAGTGCCCCACCACCCCCACCCACCAGCCCAGAGCAGGCCAGAAGCGGAAGGCTGTGCTCACTCAGATCCCTCCTGCGGGCAGCAAAGACCCATTTGGGCTGCTGTGGGATGTGGTCACGGTTTTGTACTGGCCACGGCAAACACCAACCATGTGCCCGTGTCCAGATGCTGAGCCTTCCTGGAATCTGACCGCAGGCCCTGTTATACATGCACTGCCCCCTTGCCTTGAGGATATAGAAGTCGAACCCATAGGCCTTGTCGATGAGATCCAAAGTCCGCATGGTGACAGTCACAGTGAACTTCTTATCCAAGATCTCACTGTACAGCTCCCGCTGGAACAGCTGGGGCTTCCACACCTTCTTCACTCTTGCTGAGAGCTGAAGGTGCAACAGAGACTCCCTCAGTGTAAATCCCTTCCAGGGCAAACGGGACCTGGGCTGGGCCACTGGCTCCCACTTACCCATGCTTCTCCCACTGGAGGCTCTACCTCATACGCACTGCTGTGGGATTCTAGACCTGGGGCTGACCCTGGCCGCTAACCTCAGGGCTGGCTTCTCCTTCCCTTGACCCAAGCCTGCTGATATGTGTTCCAAGTGCTCAGATGACAGAAACATAAGCAACCCAAGGGCCACATGAAAAGGAAGGTGGAAGCCTGGCGGGGCTCCAACCATCTCCTCTCCTAGGACTTAGGAGAGAGACCAGAGGCTGACTCTGCCCCTGCCAAGGCTGTCTCTGCTTTCCTTGTTTTTCTCTTTTTGTTTGGGTACAGGGGCTTGAACTCAGGACTTTGGGATCTTGCTTGTCTTTTTCACTCATGGCTGGTGCTCTACCCCTTGACTCATACTTCCACTTAAGGCTTTGTACTAACTAACTAGAGATAAAAGTCTCGAGAATGCCTGCCTAGGCTGATCTTCAGATCTGTCCCCCAGACAGCTAGGATTATAGTTTCAGGCCCCAGTGCCCAGCCCCTTCCTACCTTGTCTGTGTATGTGTGAGTGAGTGACAGAGTGTCCCCGTCCTGGGGCCTGAACTCAGGGCCTGGGCCCTGTCCCTGAGCTTTTGTGATCAAGGCTAGTTCTACACTGGAGCCCCAGCTCCACTTCCAGCTTCTTTGACAGTTACTGGAGATAGTCCCACGGGCTTTTCTGCCCCAGCTGGCTGGCTCTGAACTGTGGTCCTCGGGTCTGGGCTGAGCCGCTGACGCGGGCCTGCCTGGCTAGTTCTGTCCCCACCGACGGAGCCCAGCCCAGCCCAGCCCGCAAGCTACTGCGGGCCTCAGCGGCCCTCAGCGCCTCCTCCCATCCACCGGGGGCTGGGCCGGGCCCAGGCCTGTCCCCGGCAGCCTCCTCTCAGGACACCCCGGGGCCCATGTTTGCCTGTTTTCCGCGCGGTTCTCCTCCCCACCTCCTTGGCGCACCGGACGCCGTAGCAAACCGGTGTGCCCGGCTGGTTCGCCACGCCGGGGGCCGCCCGGAGCCCGGGGAGACGGGGTGGGGAGAGGCCGGGGCGGGGGAGGCCGGGGCCGGGGGTGGGGAGAGGCCGGGGGGCCGGGGCGGGGGAGGCCGCGGCCGGGGGTGGGGGGAGGCCGGGGCCGGGGGTGGGGAGAGGCCGGGGCCGGGGGTGGGGGGAGGCCGGGGGTGGGGGGAGGCCGGGGCCGCGGCCGGGGCGGGGGGAGGCCGGGGCCGGGGCGGGGAAGGCCGGGGCCGGGGGTGGGGGGAGGCCGGGGCCGGAGGTGGGGAGAGGCCGGGGGGGCCGGGGCGGGGGAGGCCGGGGCCGGGGCGGGGGAGGCCGCGGCCGGGGCGGGGGAGGCCGGGCCCGCGCTCACCTTGTCGTCGTTGGCGTATCTGTAGCCCAGGATCCAGCCCTCGCCGCCCCACAGCCCGCGCTGCGCCTCGGGCGGCCGGTGCAGGGGGACCGGCACGTCCTGCACGCGCTCCCGCTGCCCGCTCCGGGGGTGGATCTTGAACCGGGCCCCGTGGGGTCGGTAGTGGACGGGCGCGGGCGGCCGCTCGTCCTCCAGCGAGCGCAGGAAGTGTGCGGGCAGGCGGGAGCAGATGCCGTCCCGCAGCCGCAGGCGCGGCCACAGGTGGCGCGGGAACCTGTGCAGGGGCATCGCTGGGGCCGGCGGGGCGCACGGGGCCGGCGGGGCGCACCAGGGGGCGCGCACGGGGGACGGCGGACGCGCGGCACCCGCCGGAAGCGGAAGTGCTCCGGGGCCGCTTCCGCCCGGGCGGATGGGCCGCAGAGCCTGTCAGTCACCCCGAGCCGGCGCGCGGCGCCGGGCCGGGCGCAGGACCGCGCTCCGCCCCGCCCGCCCCGCCCCGCCCCAGCCGGGCGCGGCCCGGGCCGCGGAGCTGAACCCGAGCCCGAGCCCGAGCCCGAGCGCCGCGCCCAGCTCCGCGCCCCGTTCGCGGGCCCTCGACCCCTTCCGATCCCCTCACCCTGTGAACGCTCCGGTTTCTCCACTCAGGCCGCGGTGCCGGGGGGCTGCGGACACCGGCATCTGGGACGCGAGGGCCACGGGGTCCGCGGGCGCAGCCCCCCGATAGCGGCCCCCGATAGCGGCCCCCGACAGCGGCCCCGCGGGCGCAGCCCCCCGATAGCGGCCCCGCGACAGCGGCCCCCCGATAGCGGCCCCCGACAGCGGCCCCGCGGGCGCAGCCCCCCGATAGCGGCCCCGCGGGCGCAGCCCCCCGACAGCGGCCCCGCGGGCGCAGCCCCCGGACCCGGCCCAGCCCAGCACGCAGCCCGGGCCGCAGAGGCCGGGCCGTCCGGGATGGGTGGTGAGGCAGAGCGACCTCCAGCTCCTCGGACCAACCCAACAGTTAGGGCCACACAGGCCCACAGAGTATGGTTCCCACAGAGGAGAAGAGGAGAGACGGAGAGACGGAGGCGGAGACCCCGGGAGACAGGCCTGGGCGGGCCAGCAGTCAGGGAGCGCACGGCCAGGGATGGCGGCGGCCGGGCGCTCAGGCCTCTCTTACCCAGTAGGCCCTATGTCACAGCCTCACACAGAGTGAAGGCAAAGGGAGTCCTCTACACTTCTAACCATCCCCAGGGCCACGGAGCACAGGGCTCCACCCCACACGTGGTGTCGGTAGTCTCCAGAGGCCATGGTAGAAACAGCTGAGCCTCATCGGGAGCTGGCGGCCCTCTCTGCTGTAGGAGGAAGCAGTCTCAGCACAATTTTATTCTGTGGGGAACCAATTGTTCCTATGACGGCTCCTGGCTGAAGAGTCCATCCAAGCGGCAGAGTTCCCTGAGCTGGCCGCCTATGTCACTGTGTACAGTTCATCTCGATCATTCCTACAGATCTGATAGTGACAGGGGAGCTTCTGTGAGCAGGCCCAGGGCTCAACCTGTTCCTCCCGGGGTGGCAGCAGGAAAGCCGCGCCTCCAGCCAGCAGCATGTGCCAGATGCTGTGTGTATAGTAATAGTTGTCATTCGTCATCATGGAGGTGTAGATGGCAATGCCCACGGAGGCCATGGAGATGCCAGGCAAGAGGTAGAAGACCCAGCGCTGCCACGAGGTAGGGTAGCATTGGCGCCGATGCCCACAGCGGTACACCTGGAGCAGACAGACACACATCCGTTGCTGTAGACTGGCTGCAGCCTCCACCTGTCTAGGCCCAGTGGTTGCAGGGGCCCCTCTGGGTCTGGGCAGCCAGAACCATGAGGTAGGCTGCATGGGGTGAGGGGCTCAAGGGCACATGGCCACACATCCTCAGTCCTCAAACCCGGGTCTCAGATGCATTACTGGCCTTAGCAGCCCTCAGCCAGTGCTGTGCCCCCCAGCCCTCTCCACAGGACTAGGGGCCTGGCTGGAACAAAGGTCCTGACTCTCTTCTCCCAGAACCTGGGCAAGAGCATCTGTCTTTTCTAGCTCCTTACCCACATGGAGGACATGATCACGAAGGCAAAGAGGCAGGGCCCCATCAAGTTCCAGATGCCCCTGCGGTCCAGCTGCAAGGACATGGCCATGACCAGTGTGCCCAGGACAAACAGGATCTGGAAAGACATGGCGACCGCCGTGTGTCCCCAGGTTTAGCTGGGGTCCTCTATACCAACCCAAGACTCACCAGGAGCAGGTGGCCGTGCACCGCCATGGCCCTTGGCACTTCTGCCTGCTCTCCGGAGAGCTGCTAGCTAACTTTGCCCTGCTCTGTGGGCTGGGAGAAAAGCCCCTGATGGCTTATAGATGAATACAGCCTTGGTGCTTCTGGGACCCCAAGGTTCTAGAACCCCATCACCACGGGGTCCTGACCAGCACACACTCCAGTGGTGCCTTCAGGACAGCACCTGGCCTGCAGTTCAGAACAGACCCTGCAGACAAGAGAACACAATCCACCAGTGCCACAAAGCATTTCCACTGGCCACACTAAGCCCCTGTTATGTCCTAGGGCCAGGGATTCCAGAAGCGTAGCTGGGGTTTCTCAAGGAGACGGGAGAGGGCCTTGTAGAGCCTTGCTCCCTCTGCCCACCACCGTGCTTCTGATGTCCCCTTGTTGCCCTATTCCTTCAGTTACTGGTGGTTTTTTCCAGTGACAGCTACATACCATGTGACTTCTCTCTTCTTTTTTGTAAGAGGTTAGGATTTGAGCTGAAGTCCTTGAGCCTGCTAGGTGGGCCCTCAGTTACTTGAGCTACTCCACCCATCCAGAATAGCTGGTTGTTAGGAGACTCAAGCCAAACGCCCTTCCTGTTCCCTCCCCCGCGGCCCTGGCATGCTGCGTGTGGGATCCGTGTCCTGTTCCCTCCCCCGTGGCCTGGCGTGCTGCGTGTGGGATCCGTGTCCTGTTCCCTCCCCCGCGGCCCTGGCGTGCTGCGTGTGGGCTGTGTCCTGTTCCCTCCCCCGCGGCCTGGCGTGCTGCGTGTGGGATCCGTGTCCTGTTCCCTCCCCCGCGGCCCTGGCGTGCTGCGTGTGGGATCCGTGTCCTGTTCCCTCCCCCGCGGCCCTGGCGTGCTGCGTGTGGGCTGTGTCCTGTTCCCTCCCCCGCGGCCCTGGCGTGCTGCGTGTGGGATCCGTGTCCTGTTCCCTCCCCCGCGGCCCTGGCGTGCTGCGTGTGGGCCGTGTCCTGTTCCCTCCCCCGTGGCCCTGGCGTGCTGCGTGTGGGCCGTGTCCTGTTCCCTCTCCCGCGGCCCTGGCGCCCATGCTGCCTGTGGGCTGTGTCCTGGGAGCTCAGCTCATCCCAGAGGCCACTCACGTGTTTCAACACTGTCTTCAGCCGGGCCATGCAGAGGATGGTGACCCAGGTGGACGCCCCAGAGCCCAGAAAGTCACAGTACTGCAGTGTGTCATAGTTGAGGATGCACAGCATGGCCTCCCCTGGCTGGTCACAGGCGTGGTAGAACTGCAAAGCGGGTGGTGAGCGGCAGCCCGGACCTCCCCACCCTCCGGTCCTGGGAGGCGTGGACCAGGCCTACCGTCGAGAAGAACATGGTGTACAAGTAGACGAAGGCTTCCACCAGGAAAGCACGGTGCACTGACACGGCGATGGGGGCCAGGAACATGAGGTTGCTGAGGGTGAGCAGGAGTGCCGCCGCCTTCTGCTGTGCCACCGTCTGGGCCGTGCTGTTATCCGTGCAGCTCCATCCACGCCAGCCTGGAGGCCACGCAACAGCCAGGGTGCTGAGCGGGGCAGCTGGGACCAGGCCTGCATGCGGGCAGGGGCTGCGACACTTTGGAGCCCTTTCCTCAGGTGGGAGCAGGCCAGGACAGAAGGGACAGCCGGCAACAAGGCCTGGCGCAGCAGGCGGGAACAGGCGTGGGCAGGGGGCGGGGGAGCAGATGATGACAGATGGAGCCACGTGTGGGCAAGTGTGCGTAGGCCTGGGCAGGTGAGGGCCAATGTACGGGCATGGGCTGGCCACGGATGCAAGCCAAGGTTGGGAGGCTCGCTCGGGATACTCGGGTCTCCCTGTGTGAGTGGACTATGGAAGGCCTGAGGAGGGGGACGGCATTTGTCCTGGCTTTGCGCTGTGGGAGCACTCCGTCCGGTTCTGGCGGGGGCAGGGCAGGAACGCCAAAGGCGGCCGAGACGGCCCTGCCTGGACTCACCTGCCTTGCAGCTGCAGCCCGCATACACGTAGCTGTGTCTGCGGAGTAGGAGGCACTGGCCGTATGGCCCACAGTCATCCAGACAGGGTGTCAGGTACAAGGTGGTCTCCACGCGGACCCGGGCCTGCTCACAGTCCCTGCAGAGAAGGGGCCACAAGGCTGGACTGCCAGCAGCTTACAGACACACACGCCCCCGGCCGCGCTCCACCTCAGCCTTTCCCTCTGTCAGGACTGCCGTGGGAGGGGGAGAAGGAGGGAAAGGGAAGAGCTCCTCACACGGAAGGCAGGGACGTCCTGGTGGCGGCAGGACATTGGGTCACTCCCAAACACCAGGCCCGGGCACCCAGTCATGATTCTGAACGCAGGGACTCGCCGGCAGCCCCGTACCGCGTAAGCCCTGGGTTTGCATACCTGGGGCTCTCGGGGCACACAAGCTGCAGGGAGAGGTACCAGCTGTCTGTCTCTGGGTAAGGGATGGTGAGGCTGACCGTGGGAGATAGAGTGTTCAGAGACAAAGGGTAGCCCTGGAAGAAGGCTGCACGGAGTGGGGACAGCGTGTCAGAGGGGACCAGGAGGTCCTGCCACCCTCCCTGCCAGATGCTGCCGCCATCGTACCTGTGGTGCAGTTGAGGGAAGCATTGAAGCGGAGGAAGGGTGAAGCGGCATTCACACAAGCGGCTATCAGGGTGCTGTTCGTGATCTCTGTCTAGAAGGGAGAATGGTGTGAGAGTGGGCTCCTTACACACACCCCCCGAGAGGCAGCCCTGCTGTTCACCAACTCAAGTGGCAGATGCCACTCTCTGCTGGCACTTCCCTGGATGCCCGCACACTGGCCTCGAACGACCCACGTACAGGGACAGGGCTGCCCTGAGGGGCACCATCCGTACTCAGATTGACCGGTACTGCCATTCTGCCGTTGCCTCAAAGTCCAGCCTGCTGTGGGCTCCCTGCAAAGCCAGTCCCCCAGCACGCTGAGCCCGCACGGAGCCCCTCACAGGCAGCCTGGTTCAGGCCTGTACCTTGTTTGCTCTCAGGGTGACGGTGAAGGAGCCCCCGCTGTCCATGCCCGTGTCGAGGTGGAGCCGCATCACAGAGAGCAAGTCCGGGCGCAGCAGCACCGTGACCCCGTCCAGGGGCTGGAAGCGCACGGACAGCACGTCCAGGTCCTCCCTCAGGAGCGGGTAGCTCAGGAGGCGCAAGGGGCCACCGCACTCTCGGCCACAGGGGCCCGGGGCCCGCGGCCCGGGGCGTGGGAGCTGGTCTGCAGAGGTGTCATTGCTCTGGTCTGAACTGTTTTGCCCGAGCCGGTGTGGAGTCACCCTCCAGGGCCTGCAGGCTATGAGAGGACGGGGAACTTAGACAAGGGGTCTGGGCAGGACCCCTCCACCCCGCTCCTGGTGGCCCACCTGTGAGCGTGGCCTCGGCACTGAAGGCTACGGACAGTGGTGGCTCCGCCAGGCTCTCGGCTACCACTTGCAGCCACCGGCCCCAGGGTGGTGAGGGCAGCAGAACGTGGCAGGAGGGGGAGAGGCTGCTGCAGGTCAGCACCTTCTGGAAGTTTCTGGGCAGAGCGGCTGTGCCCACCGTGAGCTGCACAGGGCAGCCGGGGCCGTCTTTGGATGCACACCCCTGCAGCTCCAGCCGGAGTTCCTGGGTGTACTCGGGGACAAAGACCCTGCAGCAAGGGGATTTGCCGTGCTCAGGTTCTGTGGATCTTCCGCTTCCCAGCGAGATTCCTTGGCCTCCTCACCCACACGGCCAGCCGAGGGCTGGCAGGCCTTCCCCAGGGCCCCACTCACTTGAGGTAGGTCGGGCGAGAGAGGAGGGTCTTCAGAAGGGGCACGTCGGGCTCCAGGATGGAGACCTCAACCATGCGCATGACCAGCATGTCAGGCTGGAAGATGTAGGCACAGGTGGAAACAAAGTCCTGGGAGAGGAGGGATGGGGGCAGGCTGGAGCATCAGGACTAACGGTAATGGGGCTGGACTGACAGTGGGCTGGCGGAGCCCAGAGAAAGCCAGCCAGCAGCACAGGAGGCCCTGCCTCTCACCTTCACCTCAATTTTCTGGGAGGAGGGGGGCAAGTGGGCGGCCACAAACCAATCCCCAGGAGCCGGGTAGGAGATATTGACGGAAGTATTGCCCAGCAGCATGGTGCTGAACAGGGTCCTGATGCGGAAGGAGGCCCGCACGGAGGTGGTGTTGGAGAAGCTGGTGCCCAGAGGGTTGATGACAGGAGGGGCCCCGGCCCGGAAGTGCCTGGAGGAAGAGGACAGGCGGGAGCCCCGCGTGATGCTCGGGCAGGCATGGCACACGTGCGTGCGTGCGTGTGCAAGGGCTGGGCACCTACACGGTGATCTCCACGTCCGGGCATGCGCGGCTGCTCTCCTGGGATGCATGTAGCAGCCAGTGCAGCCGTGCGGTGTCTGGGGGCACACGGAAGTGGAAGAGCCGGACACTGCCGTACCAGCTGTAGAAGGACAGCTTCTGCGGTGCCTGGGAGAAGTGTTCGGGGACCAGGCCAGCCTCTGTGGAAAGAAGCTGCCGTCAGCCGGAGGAGCCACTGCCTCCGGGACGCAATCCAACCCCCACAGCACCCCGCTTAGAGCCCCCCAGGGAGGGGATGCAGTCAAGGCCTGGAGGCCTGGCCCCTCCGTGTGCAGACCTTGGCCCAGGTCCAGCTCCCTTCTGACCCCTGGAGGCTGAGTCATTTTCCCCTCTGGTGAGGCAGCTGTTGCTTTTTTTGGGGGGGGGGGAGAGAGGGTCCGGTCATAGGGCCTGAACTCTGGGCCTGGGCACTGTCCCTCAGCTCTTCAGCTCAAGGCTAGCGCTCTACCACTTGAGCCACAGCGCCACTTCTGGCTTTTTCTGCTTATGTGGTGCTGAGGAATCGGACCCAGGGCCTCATGCATGCAAGGCAAGCACTTACCACTGAGCCACCTTCCCAGCCCGAGGCAGCAATTTCTGTTCCTTCCCTGCGGAGGACCGCAGCCCACTCCCAGGGACCTGGCTTTCTCATGTGGTGGCTTCCAGTCAAGCCCCATGGTCTCTCCTACTGGTTCTTCAGAGGGGCCCACCCAGGGCCCAGCAGCCCTCTTCCTAGATGGCCATCAAATATTGGTTCTGCCCTACTTGCACCCAGCAAATGCTCCATTTCTCCTCCCCTTCCCCAAACCCAGCATGATGGCCACAAAGCAGCCCTGCGGAACAGGTGCAGGCTCAGACCCAGCATCTGGCCGATCCCTAGACTGTGACAACAGGGACATCGCTAGATCTCTACCTAGAAAAAGACCTTGATAGGGGAGAAGACTCCAGTCCAGAAGCTTGGCTAGCCAGGGGCTCCCAGGACTCTCACCCAAGCATGGTGGTACTAGGACAAAGCAAGGGCCAAGGGGGACAAACGGCCTACCTAGGCGTACCCCGTCCTCGGCCGCTCAGTACTCCACCCCCCATCTCCTAGGCGTACCCCGTCCTCGGCCGCTCAGTACTCCACCCCCATCTCCTAGGCGTACCCCGTCCTCGGCCGCTCAGTACTCCACCCCCCATCTCCTAGGCGTACCCGTCCTCAGCCGCTCAGTACTCCACCCCCCATCTCCTAGGCGTACCCCGTCCTGTGACCGCTCAGTACTCCACCCCCCATCTCCTAGGCGTACCCGTCCTCAGCCGCTCAGTACTCCACCCCCCATCTCCTAGGCGTACCCCGTCCTGTGACTGCTCAGTACTCCACCCCCCATCTCCTAGGCGTACCCCGTCCTCAGCCGCTCAGTACTCCACCCCCCATCTCCTAGGCGTACCCCGTCCTTGGCCGCTCAGTACTCCACCCCCCATCTCCTAGGCGTACCCCGTCCTCAGCCGCTCAGTACTCCACCCCCCATCTCCTAGGCGTACCCCGTCCTGTGATCGCTCAGTACTCCACCCCCCATCTCCTAGGCGTACCCGTCCTCAGCCGCTCAGTACTCCACCCCCCATCTCCTAGGCGTACCCGTCCTGTGACTGCTCAGTACTCCATCCCCCATCTCCTAGGCGTACCCGTCCTGTGACTGTTCAGTACTCCACCCCCCATCTCCTAGGCGTACCCCGTCCTGTGACTGCTCAGTACTCCACCCCCCATCTCCTAGGCGTACCCGTCCTGTGACTGCTCAGTACTCCACCCCCCATCTCCTAGGCGTACCCCGTCCTGCGGCTGCTCAGTACTCCACCCCCCATCTCCTAGGCGTACCCGTCCTTGGCCGCTCAGTACTCCACCCCCCATCTCCTAGGCGTACCCGTCCTGTGACTGCTCAGTACTCCACCCCCCATCTCCTAGGCGTACCCGTCCTGTGACTGCTCAGTACTCCACCCCCATCTCCTAGGCGTACCCGTCCTTGGCCGCTCAGTACTCCACCCCCCATCTCCTAGGCGTACCCGTCCTGTGGCTGCTCAGTACTCCACCCCCCATCTCCTAGGCGTACCCGTCCTGTGACTGCTCAGTACTCCACACCTCCCCCCCATCTCCTAGGCGTACCCGTCCTGTGACCTCCCCCCCATCTCCAGGGACAGCTCAGGCCGGTGTTCTGTGTGCCCTTGGATGTTGTTCCTCTCTAGTGGTCAGACTCCCTGGGAAGGCCAAAGCCGACAGCATGTCCACTTTCCAAGGTTAATAAGTAGAAAAGAGCATCCAGAAAAAGAACAGCCTTTGGGCTCCTCTGTGCTGAGTGCCCTCCACCTAGAAGCCTTCCTCTGGCCCCTGGAAGAGCGGTGGCCCCAAGAGGGAGGGAGAGCCGGGTGAGTAGCTGTTCCCCGGCCAGCCTTGTGACTCCCCGCTCTCCTAGGCGTACACACAGCAGTCAGCTGGCAGGGCCAGAGCGCTCAGAGCAGCCTGGAACTGTGCTGGGGAGCAGGGACGGGGCCAGTTCCACCACAATGAGTTATTCCAGGCTTTTCGGTATCTGCTGGCCCGGGTCCTTTCACCAGGCTGTGGCCCCTCAGGATAACATGAGAATGGGAGGAGGGGGCGCAGGTCCCGGGCAAGGTAGACTCCTTCTACCTTGCTACCCAAACACCCAGCCTGAGGAGCTGGGCAGGGAAAGTTCTTCCTCTGCGTGCAGCTTGCTGCTAAGGGGAAAGCCCTCCGCCCCCCCCCCCCCCCCCCCCAGTCCCTGAGAAACTCGGGAAAAGTGATGTCTCTCTGCAGGCTCATAAGAGGTAAGAGGTACCTGATACCTGGTGCCAACTTCACAGGGCTACATGGCCCTGCAGGCCTGGTCTGAAGCCCTACCTTCCCTGGCTGGACACCCACAGTCCAGCTGCTGGATTGAGCGGCCATCCCAGGGGAATGGGGGGGGGAGGGCCGGGAAGGTTGGCCATGGGAGACCCCTGGGCTCAGTGCCACCAGCACAGGATCAGGAGGGGAAACAGAGTCTCTGAGCCTACCCAGGAGCCGTGTGAGGAGGCTGCCCTTGCCCTCCAAACTCCACCAACTCTGTGTTCCTGCAGACCAACCCTGTGTACCCACAGACCAACCCGTGTACCCACAGACCAACCCCGTGAACCCACAGACCAACCCGTGTACCCAGAGACCGACCCTGTGAACCCACAGACCGATCCATGAACCCACAGACCAACCCTGTGTACCCACAGACCAACCCTGTGTACCCACAGACCAACCCGTGTACCCACAGACCAACCCGTGTACCCAGAGACCGACCCTGTGAACCCACAGACCGATCCGTGAACCCACAGACCAACCCGTGTACCCACAGACCGACCCTGCGAACCCACAGACCGACCCTGCGAACCCACACACCGACTCTGTGAACCCGCAGACCGACCCTGTGAACCCACACACCGACTCTGTGAACCCACACACCAACCCGTGAACCCGCAGACCGACCCTGTGAACCCGCAGACCGACCCTGTGAACCCGCAGACCGACCCTGTGAACCCGCAGACCGACCCTGTGAACCCGCAGACCGACCCTGTGAACCCGCAGACCGACCCTGTGAACCCGCAGACCAACCCGTGAACCCACAGACCGACCCTGTGAACCCACAGACCGAACCCACAGACCGACCCTGTGAACCCACAGACCGAACCCACAGACTGACCCCGCGAACCCACAGACCGACCCCGCGCACCCACAGACCGACCCCGCGCACCCACAGACCGACCCTGCGCACCCACAGGCGCTGCCGGTGCCCCTCCGCCCCGGCGGGCCTGGGCGAGGGGAGGGCCCGGCGGGTCGGACAGCGCAGGCCCAGCACCGCGCAGGCCCCGCGCCGCGGACGGGGACGAGGGCGGCAGTGCCTGCGAGCAGAGCCGCGGAGCGCGGGCTCCCGGGCCCAGGTCGGGGCGCTCCAGCCCCGGCGCAGCCCGGCCCGCCGGTCCTTCCCCACAGGCCGGCGGGAATCCCGGCGACCCCACCGCCCGGGCCCGTGACGCCCCGGGGCCGCGGGGGGGAGACAGAGGACGCGCGGGGGGGGGGGGGGAGCCGGGGCCGCGCGGGGGGGGGAGCCGGGGCCGCGCGGGGGGGGGGGGGACGAGAGGACGCGCGGGGGGGGGACGAGAGGACGCGCGGGGGGGGGGGGGGGAGCCGGGGCCGCGCGGGGGGGGGGGACGAGAGGACGCGCGGGGGGGGGGGGAGCCGGGGCCGCGCGGGGGGAGACGAGAGGGCGCGCGGGGGGGGGGGGGGGAGCCGGGGCCGCGCGGGGGGGGGGGGAGCCGGGGCCGCGCGGGGGGGGGGGAGACGAGAGTACGCGCGGGGGGGGGGGAGACGAGAGTACGCGCGGGGGGGGGGGGAGACGGGGCCGCGCGGGGGGGGGGGAGCCGGGGCCGCGCGGGGGGGGGGGAGACGAGAGTACGCGCGGGGGGGGGGGGGGGAGCCGGGGCCGCGCGGGGGGGGGGAGCCGGGGCCGCGCGGGGGGGGGGGGAGCCGGGGCCGCGCGGGGGGGGGGGGAGACGAGAGTACGCGCGGGGGGGGGGCCGGGGCCGCGCGGGGGGGGGGGAGCCGGGGCCGCGCGGGGGGGGGGGAGCCGGGGCCGCGCGGGGGGGGTGCCGGGGCCGCGGGGGGGGGGGCCGGGGCCGCGCGGGGGGGGGAGCCGGGGCCGCGCGGGGGGGGGGGGCCGGGGCCGCGCGGGGGGGGGGGGAGCCGGGGCCGCGCGGGGGGGGGGGCCGGGGCCGCGCGGGCGGGGGGGAGACGAGAGTACGCGCGGGGGGGGGGGCCGGGGCCGCGCGGGGGGGGTGCCGGGGCCGCGGTGGGGGGGGGCCGGGGCCGCGCGGGGGGGGAGCCGGGGCCGCGCGGGGGGGGGGCCGGGGCCGCGCGGGGGGGGGGGAGCCGGGGCCGCGCGGGGGGGGGGGCCGGGGCCGCGCGGGCGGGGGGGAGACGAGAGTACGCGCGGGGGGGGGGGGCCGGGGCCGCGCGGGGGGGGGGGAGCCGGGGCCGCGCGGGGGGGGGGGGGGAGCCGGGGCCGCGCGGGGGGGGGGGGAGCCGGGGCCGCGCGGGGGGGGGAGCCGGGGCCGCGCGGGGGGGGGGGAGCCTGGGCCGCGCGGGGGGGGAGAGCCGGGGCCGCGGGGGGGGGGGGAGCCGGGGCCGCGCGGGGGGGGGGGGCCGGGGCCGCGCGGGGGGGGGAGCCGGGGCCGCGCGGGGGGGGGGGGAGAGCCGGGGCCGCGCGGGGGGGGGGGGGGAGCCGGGGGCCGCGCGGGGGGGGGAGCCGGGGCCGCGGGGAGACGCGAGGACGCGCGGGGGCCCCGGAGCCGCCCCTCGCCCCCGCGGCCCCGGCCAGGGGAGCGCGCCGCGCCCGGGTGAGTCACAATCCCGCCCCGCCGCTCACCGCTCTTCCAGCCGTCGCCGGCGGCGGGCGGGTGCCGGGCCGCCAGCAGCAGCAGCAGCAGCAGCGGGAGCAGCGGCCCCGCCACCGCCGCCCGCGCCGCGCCGCGGGTCCCCGCCGGGCCCATGGCTCCGCCGGCGCTACCCGCCCGGGCCCCGCGCCGCCGTCCCGGACCTGGACACGGACCCGGACCCAGGCTCCCCTGGCTCGGCCGCACCGGCCGCCGGCGCCCCGGGCACTTCCGCCCGCGAGGCCCCGCCCCGCCGGGAGCCGGCCGGGCTCGGAGCCCCCGGGGGCCTCGCGGGCGGAGGGGCCGCCGGCCCAGAGGGGGTCGGATCTACCGGATACCGACGGGGCCCTCGGGACGCGCGGGGCTGGAGCCCGGGGGGACGAAGCGTGGAGCGGGGCCGCGGGGGGGGGGGGGGCGGGGCGGGGCGCCGGGGTCGGGGGGAGCGCCGCGGGGGGGGGGCGTCGGGGCGCCGGGGTCGGGGGGAGGGCCGCGGGGGGGGGGCGTCGGGGCGCCGGGGTCGGGGGGAGGGCCGCGGGGGGGGCGCCGGGGGCGGGGCTGCGGGGGCGGGCGGGGGCGCCGGGGTCGGGGTCGTGGGGGCGGGGGCACCGGGGGCGGGGGGGCGGGGGCGCCGGGGTCGGGGGTCGGGGCCGCCAGGGGGGGGGCGGTCAGTGGTAGAGCGCTCGCCTCGCCTGCAGGAGGCCCCGGGTTCGAGTCCTCGGCACCACTTGAGCAGAAGCAGCCGGAAGCGCCCCGGCCGCCCCGCTCCGCTTCCTCCCGCAGCCCACCCAGCGGCCGCGCCCAGCACGGTCCCCACCCGGGTTGGAACTCCCCGGCTGGGTCCCGGCCAGCCCGGCCTGGAGCGCTCGGCCTGCTCTGCCCAGCTCTGCCCAGCTCTGTCCCAGCTCTGCCCAGCTCTGTCCCCAGCTCTGTCCCAGCTCTGCCCAGCTCTGTCCCCAGCTCTGCCCAGCTGTCCCCAGCTCTGCCCAGCTCTGTCCCCAGCTCTGCCCAGCTCTGTCCCCAGCTCTGTCCCAGCTCTGTCCCCAGCTCTGCCCAGCTCTGTCCCGAGCTCTGCCCAGCGCCCAGCTCTGTCCCAGCTCTGCCCAGCTCTGCCCAGCTCTGCCCAGCTCTGTCCCCAGCTCTGCCCAGCTCTGTCCCCAGCTCTGCCCAGCTCTGTCCCCAGCTCTGCCCAGCGCCCAGCTCTGTCCCAGCTCTGCCCAGCTCTGTCCCCAGCTCTGTCCCAGCTCTGCCCAGCTCTACCCAGCTCTGCCCAGCTGTCCCCAGCTCTGCCCAGCTCTGTCCCCAGCTCTGTCCCCAGCTCTGTCCCAGCTCTGCCCAGCTCTGCCCAGCGCCCAGCTCTGTCCCAGCTCTGCCCAGCTCTGTCCCCAGCTCTGCCCAGCTCTGTCCCCAGCTCTGTCCCAGCTCTGCCCAGCTCTGTCCCCAGCTCTGCCCAGCTCTGTCCCCAGCTCTGCCCAGCGCCCAGCTCTGCCCAGCTCTGCCCCCAGCTCTGCCCAGCTCTGTCCAGCGCCCAGCTCTGTCCCCAGCTCTGCCCAGCGCCCAGCTCTGCCCAGCTCTGTCCCCAGCTCTGCCCAGCTCTGCCCAGCTCTGTCCCCAGCTCTGCCCAGCTCTGTCCCCAGCTCTGTCCCAGCTCTGCCCAGCTCTGTCCCAGCTCTGCCCAGCTCTGTCCCCAGCTCTGCCCAGCTCTGCCTTGAAACGCATGCCCCCCCCCCCCCCCCCGTGAGCGGTGGCCGGGAGGTGGGCACCGGGAGGAAGGGCCCTCCGGTGTGGCTGCACGCGCAGGCCGCCCTAACGGGTCCCACCGCGTCCTCCCGAGCCACGCGGCGGGAGGCTGAGCACAGCCCTTGGCGGCCGGCCGCACCACGGCGCGTGACACAGCGGACGTGCGGGGCCGGCACGTGCGCGGCGGCAGCTACAGAAGGAGCGGGACCTGGCCTTTCCAGAGCTGGGGGGGTGATGTCACAGAACGTCCTAGAAGCACTGGCCTGCAGGTTACACTGGCGGCCTTGGGGGCCGGAGCGCACCTGGAATTGTGTGCGTGACACGACACCGGAACGCACGCTTGCCGGGCAGACACCGCAGCTGAGCCACGCGTCCAACTCGGCCACCCCGGAGGGCCGCCTGGCCAGCGCCGGTCCCGGAGGGCCGCGAAGGGCGCGGGGAGGGCGCGGCCTGGATGGCAGGAGGCCGAGGAGGGACGCGGGCCGGGTGGCCCTCCGCAGCTGCGGGGCTCCCCGCACAGTTCCGAGAACTCGAGGCGCTGGCCGCCTCCGGGGGGGGCTGCTCCCGCGTCGCCGCGGGCCGCCGGGCCTCAGTCCTCACCAGGCGCGCGGGGAAGCTGGCCCCGCGCCGGAAGGCGCCCGCGCGCCCGACGCGCTCCGCCCGGAGGCGGCCCGGGGTGGTGCCGCCCTTCCGCCCCCGGGTGCGGACCTGCGCCTCCAACCCCGCGGCTCGGGGCGAGCCTGGAGACCAGGGCTCAAAGCCCCGCCGGGGCTCCGACCGCCCACCGCCGAGCGCGCTCCACCCGCAGCCGCGACCTGCGGGCCGGGCCCGGGGGCGCCGACCACGCCCGCAACGCCGGGCAGCACCGCGGTCACAAGGCCGGAGGCGGCGGCGGCCTCTCGCGCCCCCGCGGGGCTCCCGTTCCGCGGAGAGGGGCCGGCTCCGCGCGGCGGCCCCCGCCCGGCGCCTCGGCCCGCACCTCCACGTCCAGCGCTTCCCTTCTCGCCAGGCCCGGGCTCGAACTTGGGGCCGGCGCACACCGCCGCGGAGACCGCGCAGTCCCGGCGGGGTTCGCGGGCACCACGGAGTGTTCTTCGGGGTTTTAGCCCCAGTGGCCGGCAACGTCTGGGTGGGGAGCCGGCGCCCGGACGGGGCGAGCTTGGAGAGGCGTGGCGGACCCGGCCGGGGGCGGGGCGAGAGCTTGGAAGGGCGTGGCGGACCCGGCCGGGGGCGTGGCGAGAGCTTGGAGGGGCGTGGCGAGAGCTTGGAGGGGCGTGGCGAGAGCTTGGAGGGGCGGGGCGAGAGCTTGGAGGGGCGTGGCGGACCCGGCCGGGGGCGTGGCGAGAGCTTGGAAGGGCGTGGCGGACCCGGCAGAGGCGGGGCGAGAGCTTGGAGGGGCGTGGCGGACCCGGCCGGGGGCGTGGCGAGAGCTTGGAGGGGCGTGGCGGACCCGGCCGGGGGCGTGGCGAGAGCTTGGAGGGGCGTGGCGGACGCGGCCGGGGGCGTGGCGAGAGCTTGGAAGGGCGTGGCGGACCCGGCAGAGGCGGGGCGAGAGCTTGGAGGGGCGTGGCGGACGCGGCCGGGGGCGGGCTCAGCGCCCACACCGGCAGGCGGGCTCCGGGCCAAGCCGAAGAGGCTGGGCGGTGGAGCCACCGCCGCACGGACCGGAACGAGTCCGCCAAGTAGATTCCAAACGCGCACCTGGCTATCTGCCGCCGCCATCAGACGGCCACTGCCGACTCCGCGGGGCCCGGGCCGCCCGCAGCCCGCCGTCTAATCACATTAAAAGCTGGGCCGGGGCGGCGGCGGCGGCGCGCGGTTTGCTGCCCCGCCCCGCCCCGAGGCAGGGGCCGCGCGGATCGCGGCGGGGACGCCCGACGCTCACTTCTGCCTGTCGGGGAAACGTCGTCCACGCAGCGGCCCCGCCGAGGGCCCAGAGACCGGCTGCGGTCCCCAAGCCGGAGCGCGCACGGGCGGCGGGGAGCCGCGGCGATCGTGCACCGGGGCCGACCGCCCCCCACCGCGCCCGAGCCCCCGAGCGGCGCCCGGGACTCGCGCGTCCCAGCGCCGGAGAAGTTCTGGGGCTGCGCCCGGTGGACGCTGCCCGCGGGGAGAGGTTAAAACGCACCGCCCCGAGCGAACCAGCTCGGCTCCACTCCGGCTGGAACGCGAGGCGTGCGCAGCGGCTCTGAGCCCGCGGCCCCAGCCCAGGAGGGGGGGGAGCCCGACTGGGGAAGGGCCGCGCGGGGCCGCAATTCCCGCGACCGCCGCCGCCGCCACGCGCTTCCAGGGAGAGGGACGAGAGTGCGCCTGCGCGGGGCGCGCGCGACCCCGCCCCCCGCCCGCGGTCCCAGCAGGCTGCGCGCAGGGCGGGCTGGAGCGCGGGGCGGGCGCGGGGCGGGTGCGGGGCGGGCTGGAGCGCGGGGCGGGCGCAGGGCGGGCTGGAGCGCGGGGCGGGCTGGAGCGCGGGGCGGGTGCAGGGCGGGCTGGAGCGCAGGGCGGGCTGGAGCGCGGGGCGGGCTGGAGCGCGGGGCGGGCGCGGGGCGGGCTGGAGCGCAGGGCGGGCGCAGGGCGGGCTGGAGCGCGGGGCGGGCGCGGGGCGGGCTGGAGCGCAGGGCGGGCGCGGGGCGGGCTGGAGCGCGGGGCGGGCGCAGGGCGGGTGCAGGGCGGGCTGGAGCGCGGGGCGGGCTGGAGCGCAGGGCGGGCGCAGGGCGGGCTGGAGCGCGGGGCGGGCTGGAGCGCGGGGCGGGCTGGAGCGCGGGGCGGGCTGGAGCGCGGGGCGGGCTGGAGCGCGGGGCGGGCTGGAGCGCGGGGCGGGCTGGAGCGCGGGGCGGGCTGGAGCGCGGGGCGGGCTGGAGCGCGGGGCGGGGCGCAGTCAGTCCCCGACACCCCGACCTGCTGGCTCCCGGCGCCATGGCCCCGCCGTCGCCGGACGTCGAAGCTGACGACTGTCTCCCCGAGTACCGCCACCTCTTCTGCCCGGACCTGCTCCGGTGAGCGCCGGGCGGGGCGCCTGGGGGCCGGGGCCGGGCCGGCCGTCCGCGGGGACGGGGTGGGGGGCGCTGGCCACGGCTGGACCCGAACCTTGTTTCCGCTGGGCCTGGGGCCTGAACTCTGCCCCTGGAGCGTTGGTCCGCTTGGGGTTTTGTGGCTAGCCCAAGAGTGTCCTGCGGGCTCGCGTCGCCTTGGGAGCGGTGAGGGCCCGCGGGAGGAAGCGTTTGGACATCAGGTGCCTCTTGATGACCTTCCTCAGAGCTGTAGGTTGAACCTTTCCTGAGAACCCTGAAAGTCCAGGAAAAGCTGTGTGCACAACAGCGTTTTCTTTTCTCACAGAAGCACACCGGGTTCTGGCGCCGAGGTCGGGGATCAAAGTCCTTCCT